TCTTTTGGCAGTCCCTGGTACTCTCATTATTCTCCTCCAACACCATAACTCAAATGCATCCATTCTTCTACAGTCTTCCTTATTCACTGTCCAACTTTCAAATACATATGAGGTTATTGAAAATATCATGGCTTGGGTCAGGTACACCTTAGTCCTCAAACTGACATCTTTGCTCTTCAACACTTTAAAAAGGACTTGTGCAGCTGATTTGCCTAATGCAATATGTCGTTTGATTTCTTGACTGCTGCTTTCTTAGTGTTGATGGTTGATCTCAACAAAATGAAGTCTTTGACAACTTCAATCTTTTCTCCATTTATATAGCTGTCGTTTATTGGTCCACTGGTGAAGATTTTTGTGTTCTTTACATTGAGATGCAACCCATACAGAAGGCTGTGCTCTTTGATCTTCATCAGTAAGTATTTTAAATATTTTTAAACTTTTAAATTCTTAATTCACAATAGAAAGTTTAAAAAAAAAATAGAAGAAAAGAAAATCCTATGGTACATAGCTCTACTCTGCATATATGGAGTGGCCATGAGTCAGACTTGAAGGTAACATTTTCTTATAATAAAATTATAATTTAATAAAAATTATGGTCCTGCTCACATGTTATCAAGTGCAGTGAGGTTCCCGAAATTCTTAAACTTCAACCTATTCATGTCTTATTCCTTCCTTGAACTGTATTTCCAAATATAGTCTTGCATTCATCAATATAAAACAGTAGTGAAAAGATGTAGAAGAGCAGAAACACAACATAAGGAAATTTAACAGAAACAAATGACTACATGAAGATTTGAAAGGAAGGAAAATGCTATTCAAAGACCCAGCTTTCCAAGAACTTTCACAGGTCCAACCTTTTCATTGGATTCTTTGGAGAAAGGTTTAAACACAGTTTATACCTGAAGCTTGCCTTGATAAGGCTTTTTAGTTAAACATGCTTAAGTTACTTGTTTTTCTATTTTTGTAATTGTTAAGATTTAACATTTATTTGTTTTTTGGAATACAGTGACAATCCTAAGAAATTCTGGATAGGATGGGGACTTCATCTTAGTAATGAAAGATAGGAGTTTTCAATATCGTTTCCATATTAATTTTGTTCTTGTGGAAGATGAGAAATAGATGTACTAGAAAAATGTTTTGCTAACATATGTCAGTAAATAAAAGGAGCTTCCTTAAAATAAATGCCATTTTGTAGTTGTAACTGGAGAGCTGACATAGACACTTGTTGTTAAGTGCCATCAAGTTGGTTCCAACTCATAGCAACCACACGCCCACAATTACCTGTATGTGTGGCATACGAAAGCAAGTACATGATGGTATATTACCAAGTCTTGTGATTCTGAATATAAAAGGTCTGGTCTTTCTCAGGCTTTCCTTTCTTTACATTTCTACTGCCTCTGCCCTTCTCCTGATTTATCGAATCTTTTATAATATGGAATTTGAGATTACAAAAACAGTGCATGTACATTGTAAACACGAAAATAATGTGGAAATATATAGAACACACTAGGCTAGTATCTTCATGCTTCACCACCTCCAGTCATCTTCCTGGGCTAGTGACCTGGGACGTCATACCTGGCCCATGATCAGAAAATACGTAGCCAGTTCTGTTACCAGCCTCTCCCATGCACTTACATTTGTGTAAACACTTTTAACTATTTTGCTTCCAGAAAATTTCTGGTTGTCTCTTTGTATAGAGCCCTGGAAGCGCAATGAAATATGCAGTTGCTAATCAAAAGGTAGGCAGTTCAAAACCACTCAGTGGCTTCACAGGAGAAACATCTGGAGACCCGCTGCTGTAAAGATTGCGGCTGCTGCTATGTGCCCTCAAGTTGGTTCCGATTCACGGTGACGCTGTATAAGGTTTCTAAGGCTGTAAATCTTTACAGGAGCAGAACGCCTCCTCTTTCTCTCCCTCTTTAAAGACTCTTGTTGTTAAGTGCTACTGTTTCTGACTCACAGTGACCCTGTATAGGCTTTCCATGGAGCGGCTGGTGAGCCTGAACTGCCGAACTTGTGGTTCAAACCAACCGTGCTGTCCAGAGCATTTACCCACAGTGCTACATCAGCCTAAGAAACTCTATAGTGCAGTTTGCTACACGGGGTTGCTATGAGTCTAAACTGACTTCATGTTTGTGTGAATACACAATTTGACGATGACAGGCTTGTTCTGTTTGTGCAACCACTTTCTTTGCTCTCTCAATGTTGCGGATGGAGTTTTCCGATTTAACACTGGCCTCCCATACGTATTCCCCAAGGCAGTCTCCATATAGCTGTAGAAAGATCTTGCTAATCTGGGTGTGTTATTCTTCAACAAAAAAGGCTTCCCTGCTGCCTATACAATGAATTAGCTTTCTGGTTAGGAAATGAGACTCTATACAAACACCATCAGTGTTGACAAATTAGAGTTTCCAAGCGTGCAGGTCTGAAGGATGCCTCTGGATGGGGGAGCCAAGGGTGTAGTGGTATGAGGCAAAAAACTGAAATAAGTCTTCTTGATTAAATGGGGAATTACCAATCTGAACAGAGACCTTTATTTTGAGATTTAGCAAGATCATATCTCAATTGCTACAAGGTAAGAAAAAGCATCCTTCCTTTCCTCACCTTTTATAGGTGTACCTCATTCAATTATGCTTTGCTTTAATGTGCTTCATGGATATTGTGATTTTTACAAATTGAATGTTTGTGGCAATGCTGTGAGGAGCAAATCTGTTGGCACCATTTTTACAACAACATGCGCTCACTTTGTGGTTCCGTTTTACAATTTGGTAATCCTCACAATATTTCAAACTCTTTCATAATACTTGTTGGTAAGTACCATCAAGTCAGTTCCAACTCATAGTGAGCCTGTATAGGGTTCCCAAGTAGTGGCTGGTGAGTTTGAACCACTTACCTTGTGGTTCAAACCGTCCTTGTGGTCCGGTGCTTTATCCTACCGTGCCACACCAGGACTCCTTCATAATGCTATTGAACACTTACTAGACTATGTTGTTGTTGTTAAGTGTGGTTCAGTTATCCCAACTCATAGTGACTGTGTGTGGAGTTTCTAAGGAGTGGCTGGTGGGTTTGAACCACTGACCTTGTGGTGACTAGTCCAGCGTTTACCCTACTGTACCACACCAAAATTCCAGTAGACTACAGTGTAAACATAACATATATATGCACTGGGGAAACCAACCAACCAAAAAAACCAAAAATCTCTGTGACTTGCTTTATTGCAATATGTGCATCGTTGTGGTAGTCTGGAATTGAACCTGCAATATCTCTGAGGTATACCTATAATTATAGAATTGCTAATAATTGACCTTGAAAATAGAAAAACAAGATTAAAGAAGAGATAAAGTTGGTTAACTTAAAATATAGCATTAGATTATATGTGCTTTTTATTGTTTTACATATGAGGAAACCAAGCCTGAAAATGAACATGTGTCATATCCAAAGCCATGGCATTTAGTATTAACTTAATACCTATTGCCTTTCAGATTAAACTCTGCATGATGTCATCTTGGAATTTTCCAGATCACTCTAAATTGGACGGAGTTCAGAATGATATTCCAAAAGAGTTTAGAAAACTCTGGACTTTTCTACAACAACGGTTTTCATTGTTTCCAGTCTGTGTTTCTAGAATAGACTGTTCAAGACTTGTTTGAGGTTAGAGATCAAAAACGCCTGAGCAGTTGCCGCTTAATAGACTACATTGTTGAATCTCTCTGAGATTCAATCTTCTAAGTATAAAATGGATGTAGGAATACTTAAGATTTTAATTAATTTGCACAACAAATATCTATGAAGTGGTGCTGTGTAACCCAAACTGTACTAAACTGTGAGATTACACAGTGATTCAGAGACACTCCCTGCTCTCATGAAGCTTATGATTTGACAGAACTTCAGGTGTGGAACAAAGTTAGCAACACAGTTCATTGTATAGACTCAGTATTCTGTGAATAATACTGACAGCAACGTATGTTTCTACATGCTTCCCCCGCCCCCCCTTACTGTTTTTTGAGAAGTAACTAATACTTTATTTGTAGAGATCCAAGCATCTTCTCAGCCCAGAAAATGGGAGTGTTTGTGGCACCATCACTATGAAAATGCCCATCCACCTCCTCTGTTGCTCATCTCTGTCAAGTTCCATAAATTATTGCTACTAGCAAAAGCGTCATTCAGCATAGCGTAGCGTTCTATTCTTTATACATTATTAGAATTTTGCTGTGTGTGTGTGTGTGTTTAACAACCAATTTTGAAATCAATTTTGACCATGTGTGAGAGCTTACAAGCAGTTTATAAGTAAATGCCCATCTCATAAATAAACAAAAAATCTGGATAAGGGTTACTTACTTCACGTTAACCAAGCATCTCAGTCTATTGCCCATTGCGTATCTCCGAGGGCTCTGCAGGAGTCTACCTAGTCAGAGCAAGCCTAGCAAGAAGACACTGCATGTCCAAGAAATCAGCTTAGAAGCCTCACTAAAGGAAAAGCCAGTCTAGTGAGGTCCATGCGAGACCTGCCCGGGATGTGAAAGAAGATCAGGAAACATTAGTGTGAAAACAATGCCATGCACATGGTCAGCTCTAGAAGAAGCGAGTCTTGCATGCCGAGACGTTTGGATTCATATGCTAAGTTCTCCAGCAGAGCCGGCTGCAGCTGTAGTTGAGGAGCCCAGCTGTGCTGAACTGCCAACTGTTACTTGGTGTGGCAAGCTCCCACATATTTGTACTGAGGAAACAACATGGAATTGGGACAACACAGACCACAACTTTAATATCCTCCATCTGGCAAAGAGACTTAATTTGGAAATCATTGAATATTTTGGGCAAGAATTGTTAAGGCCCTTTCCTTCTATGGTAACATCTATATGTGGTTCAAAATAAAGTCAAATCATATTCACTGAAGTGTTCTCTGTGGAGTGAGAGCAGGAAGTAGCCTAGCAGATGTAACTGACTTTTGGTGTTGCAGGTGGCATACATCACAGGCTTCCCACATTGGTTCCAGAACCCACCTTCCTTCCTCCTAGGCACTGCTGAAGCCGAGGCTTCGTCAGGATGCTGTAATGGCAGTTGTGGGGTTGCCAAGTGATTTCTCTCCAGTCACAGGTCCTGTTGTCTGAACAACTAAGACAAGGCACAATCCACTGCCCTGGAACAAATGGTAAAATGTTCTTTAGGTTCTGTTTTGACTGGTGGAACAATTGTTTGCAGTCAATTTAGAATTCAGCTATAGCGCACCATTATGGAAATTACAGTGAGGAGACCATTCGGATTTAGGCGCCTGGTGGAGTAATGCATGGCCCCCTGCCAACCAAGTAGACTAGCAACATAGGAACACGCGCCTATGTCCTGAAATTGAACAGTCCATGCAGAAATCAAGTGAGTTCTGTTCCTCCAAGCCAAAAACTTACAAAACATATCCTTGAAACCGTATACTTATGAAAAAAATAAGTGACCATATTGTTGGTGTTAAGTACTGTCAAGTTGGTTCCAACTTATAGTGACCCTGTATAAGGATTCTGAAGAACAGCTGGTGGGTTTGAACCTACAACCTCTTGGTCAGCAGTCTGGTGTTGATCCTACAGCACCACATCAGAACTCCCCAATGATTACTTATTGTCACAGACCCCTTTAGGCACTTCAATCAGACCATAGAGGGACTGTGAGCCACTGTTGGTCCCAAATGTTTATCCGCAGTAACATTTGCTTACTTGACAAATGTCAAGTTGATGGAAAGGTTGAGGTAGTCCCCACTTTCAAGAGATTTAAGATCTAAGAAAATGGCTTGAATAACTGGATAATTTATTATTTTGAGGAGTCATAGTGTGGTGCTGTATGATGAGCACTTGGCCACAAGGTTAGTTTGAACTGCAAGGTCAGCGATTCAAAGTCACCAGCTGCTCCTCGGAAACCCTATACAGGGTTGCTATGGGTCAGAATGGACTCGATGGCACTTAACAACAAACACGGCAGAGGGATTTTCATTTTTAATATGAGTAGATAGGGTAATACTTTACTAGAAAAATAAAGAAATATGTATTTGCTCTTCTCTGTCCATCTTGTCCGAGGTGAAGTGTGAACATAGCACATTGTATGAGTACTCATTTATCTCTTTTTTGAGAACATACTGGTGGCTTTGACAATCACTTGTTAAACCCTGCAGGTCTTTCTTATGTTACTATTATATGTTTTCCTTCCCCTTTAAAACACTGAAGAGCTAAGTATCCCAGTTCCCTTTTTATTTTAAAAATTGTGGTAGGTATATCTTACAAGTGAAAATCAAAAAAATATACAAGAGTTCAAGTTCATACATGCCTGGTTTTATTCCAAACAAAACATGTTTAAACATGCCTCTGCAATCAGTGAATGGCTACAGACAAGTTCTCTCAGTAATATGAGTACATTTGTCTTAGTATTGTTAGGGTGCCTGCAAGAAAATAAAAGGTCCCATCACACAGTGGCTTCTGAGGGAAGTGGCTTGACCGGTTCAATTAAAGGCAGAGAGGTCAGCTCAGAGGCTATTGTGACTGTTCTGTGGATCCTAAAGGGGGATCTTGATAGATTTTCTTGAAAGACAAAGATAAGGGTTTCAGGACATTATTATGAAGAAGTTTTTTTGTTTTGTTTTGTTTTTTAACTGTAAGAAGAATTAGTAAGAAAAAGGCCAGGGAAGTGCACCTACTCATTCTTCAAAGGTAGCAAGGGCCATCCTATGAGAATTTTGTTGGGAACACGTATCTCACCCATCCTACAGCCATGACCTTGTCCCTTCAGACTTCCTTTTGTTCCCCAAACTCAAAGAACTTTGAAAAGGCACACAATTTGCATCGCTCAAGAATGTCCAAACTGTTGTTTTGGACGTGGTGTAAATTCAAAAGTGTGAAATTCTTTGGGAAATGGTTAATGAGATGAACACCACCTTCAGAAGTGTATAGACTTATAGATAACATCACATTTTGTTTAATAAAGGTTTCTATGATTTGTAACTTTTTTTTTTTTTTTTAACCTTATTTAAGTAAGGTAGCATTTAATGGTTAAGCACTCAAATATTCGCCTAAAGGTTGCCAGCTCAAACCCATCCAGAGATGCTTTGGAGGTTTAAACCTAGCAGCCACAACACAGGAGAAAGGTGTGACTCTCCTGTAAAGATGTACAGCCCCGAGAAGCCCATGGGGCAGTTCTACTCTGCCCTGGATTGTTGTTGTGAAGTGCTGCTGAGTCAATTTGGACTCAACAGCACATGATAACAGCAACATCATGTTATCTACTTTGTTCCACCAGATTGTAAGCTTTATGAACTTAGGGACTGTTTCTAATTCCCTTATGATCTCACGCCTTAGCACAGTTTTTGATACATAATAGGGTACATGTGTGATTGTGCATATACACTGCTAGGTATTATCCCTCAATTTCTCTGAACTTTAATTTTCTGAAGTATAATATGGATATAATAACATTTGCCTCACAGAGTTATGAATCCATCCTTGGCTACTTGCTTTTCAGGCTAAATACACAAGTGACCAATTGCATGCAGAAAGATTGAAATGTGGGTGCCATCAGTTTGTGGGCACAAAATTGCATGAACATTAAAAGATGGCCTGAGTGGGTCTCTTTGAAAACTTGGCCCCAGTGATTCATAGTACTATTTATTTGCACAATCTGAACTCTTTGCATTGGTTAAAAATGCCTTTTACTTCCTATAAGTCAGTAATACTGCTTGAAACAGGCATGTGTGTAACATCTGCAGGACTGGGGTCTCTTGACATTTTAAATAATACCAGCTATTAACAAAAATTGTCAAAAAAGAGGAACATATATTCTGTTAGATATTTAAACATTGAATGAATCAAAGCTGTGATTTCTGAAATAAAATATGACATATGTTTTAGGGAATAGTATTTTGAGGAATGAAATTGTATTTGGGAGAAGTTGTTTGATTTATAATTGTAGCTCTATATTTAATGCAAGTGAGATTGAGTCATTTAAGTGAGTCAAATTAGATGGTACAAAGGAGGAAAAAAGTTCAAATCTGTTAGCCAGGGCCATGTTGTAAATTTTATCATTAATGCTTGGTTCTATAATGCTATAAAATAATACAGCTTTTATTTAAGATGAAGACAGTTTACTAGGCATCCATATTTTCAGTATTGTAAATATTTCAATATAAACTGGTATGTTTTCCTTGTTAAATGCAAGTCATGATAAAGTCTTTTCATTGTATGTTGTTGTTGTTACGTGCCATTGAGTCCGTTCCAACCCATAATAGCCCTGTATAGTGTTTCTGAGGAGCGGCTGGTGGGTTTAAACCGCCAACCTCATCGTTCAAACTGACCTTGTGGTTCAGTACATTATCCTGCAGCAACACACATCATAAAATGCCATCTGAACCATTTCATTTGAAGTTAATGCTCATTCAGTAGTAATTATGCAATTTCTTCTTTCTTTATCTAAATTAGAATTACTTTTCTCCAGCAACAGAGATAATTCTTAGGTTGTGTCTTATAGTTATTTGTTTTCTACAAGCTAGAAACCAACATAAGAATACAAATACATTCATTCAGAAATGTTGCTGTTTTGTTCATTGCTGTCAAGTCAGTTCTGACTCATAGGGACCTTCTAAAGGGTTTCCAAGGTGCTCCTGGTGGGTTTGAACTTCCAGTCTTGTGGTTAGAAGTACAGTGCTTATCCTACCGAGTCACACCAGGACTTCAGAATATATTAGTTGGTGCTGTTGAAAATGACATTTTGACCATTATTACCATAAAAGGATTCAATGCTGCCAAATAATTTTGGAATGTGCTGTTAAAAGAAAATATTTGAACTAGGCTATATGTTTGATTTTATAAACTAAGCCTGTTGTTGTGTTCTGTGAAGTCAGTACCAACTTATAGCAATCTGGTATAGTGTTTCTGAGGCTGTAAATCTTAGTGGGAGCAGAAAGTTTCATCCTTCTCCCATGGAGCTGCTGGTGGATTCGAACTGCTGAACTTGCAGTTAGCAGCCTAGCACATAAACCACTATACCACCAGGGCTCTTAGAGTTTCTAAACAAACGTCCTTCCTGTAAAACTTCCCCTTTCAACACGACAGTCCTGCCATCAAGGAAATCATCTCTAGTAGCAAAAAAGAAAAGAAAAAACATTCTTCCACAAAACTATCTTTCATCTCTGTCAGTCACGTTGAGCCTTTGGGCTCACAGGACCTCAAGGGTGGAACAGTTGGCTTCGGTTTAGTGTGTCCTGGCTACTCATAGCCTTCTTGGCCTTTGGTTTAGCAAATATTATGAAAAATAATTATTTCTTGTTGAGACTATAAAAGCAAAAAATATACCAATTAAGTTTCCAGACGTACAGTTTAGTGACGCTGATTATATTCTTCAAGTTTTGCAAGCATTCGCCCTCTTGTTTTCTGAGCTGTTCATCCCCCATTACCATAACCTCACTACTTCTTAAGATTCCTATCTGATCTTCCAAGTTGCTGTTATCAATTTGGTCCATAGAGATAGGTCTTAAAAAGAATGCTCAGGCAGATATTCTTTACTCATCTACTGAATAATTGTGTGGTTTTAATACTTCAGGGGATACTTTTGGCTTAAGGTTTAAAAATTATTTAGGGCAATAGTTTCAGAAGTTCATCTAGACTCCATGTATCCCTAAAGTCCCTGCTCTGGAAAAACATAATCTAGGGTGGTGGCTATGTGTCGTGGAGTTGGTTCTAACGCATAGTGACCCTGTAAATCTTTAAAGGAGCAGAAAGCCTCATCTTTCTCTCATGGAACAACTGGTAGCTTTGAACTGCTGATCTTGATGTTAGCAGCCTGATTCGTAACCACCATGCTACCAGCCCTCCTTATAACCTAGGGTGTTGTTGTTGCTGTAAGTGCCGTTGAGTTGGTTCCTACCCATCATGACCCTGTATAGGGTTTCCAAGGAGCAGCTGGTAAGCTGGAACTAGCGGCCTTGTGGTTCAAACCAATTTTGCAGTTCAGTGCATTAACCCACATCACCACACAAGGACTCCTATGATCTAGGGTGGTGGTGATATGCCATGGAGTCAGTTCCAACTCATAGCGACCCTGCATAGGGTTTCCTAGGCTGTAAATCCTTATGGGAGCAGAAATCCTCATCTTTATCCTGCAGAATGGCTGGTAGTTTCTAACTGTTTACCTTGAGGTTAGCAGCTTGACTTATAATCACTACACCACCAGAGCTCCTTATAATCTAGGATTTTTTTTTTTTTAAGTGCTGTCGAGTCAATTCCAACCCATAGCAATCAGATATAGGTTTCCAAGGAGCAGCTGGTGAGCTTGAACTGCCAACCTTGCAGGTCAAATGACTTTGCAGTCTAGCTCATTAACCCACAGTGCCATATCATCAGTGAAAATGTATTACTTATGCACCCATGACCTTAATGTATGTACTGTATGCACACATACTCTTGTATTTTTATCTTATGTCCGTTCTAACATGTAAAAAGTAAAAGTGGTTGTATAAGAAATAACTGTACGTATATTTTAATGTTTCCTGGCTCACCTCTCTGAGTTGTCCTGTGTCATTTCTCCCTCTTCCCAGGGTGCATTATTCTACTTTGGAAGTCACTAATCAGAGACAGAGAAACAGGCCAATATATGTTCTAACCCTAATGTCCCTGGATAAGGCAGGAGGTTGTCAATGGAAAGTGTAGAGGTTCAAATCCACCCAGACGTGCCGATGAAGAAAGGACCTGATGATCTACTTTTTAAAACAATCAGTCACTGAGAACCCTATGGAGCACAGTTCTATTCTGACACACATGGGGTAATCGTAAGTCAGAATCGATGGTGACTGGTTGAACTGGTTTTCTATTGTCTGTGTGTGCCCAGGATGCTTAGGCAGCACAGAGGAGTTAAACTGAGGAGGGGAGTGGGGGGAAGACAGGCTTCTCAGAGAGGAAGACACTGCAGGCGGAAGTCAAGCACAGATGGAAGGAAGTCATTTAGGCACAGGAAACAGCATGGAGAAGAGCTAGAGTCCTGAGGAAGAGAAGGCTTGGGGTGGGAGGTTGGGAAAAAGGTAGGATAGGGCCAGGTAATGGGAGCTTTGAATGGCTATGCTGAGGGATTTGACTTGACTTGGGAGCCAACAGGGCTCTTTGAAAGGCATCTGGCTCCTCAAATACCAGAAAGCTCCTTCTCTGTGGCAATCTCTCCAGTAAGGACCAAGCAAGAGACAGCTTCATAACAGAGCATTGAAGTCACAGGAAATGTAATGGACAGAGAAGCTGCTACGTCCCCAGGAATCCCAGTAACATCTTGAACATTTTGTTGAAGAATTT